TTTTTAAGTGGCACAAACTGTTCTCAAAGACGGCCGAGAGAGTGTGGAGGACGCACCCCGCGCGGGACGCCCGTCAATGTCAAGAACCGATGACAATCATTCGAACACTTAACCGCCGGTCTGAGTTCAACAAAGCATGCACACGTTGCACGTTGTCGTCGGTTCTTGAACTCAGACCGGGCGGCGGTTAAGTGTTCGAATGGTTGTCGTCGGTTCTTGACGTTGACGGGCGTCCCGCGCGGGGTTCGTCCTCCACACTCTCTCGGCCGTCTTTGAACAGTTTGTGCCACTTAAAAACTGTATTTTTTGTAAGACTATCACTCCCGAACACTTGCCGAATCATGGCCAATGTCTCTGTACCAGATTTTCCCAGCCAAACACAGAACTTAACCGCGTAGCGCTGTTCAAGTGTTCGCTGCATTTTGGAGCTTGCACCGAGTCCCTCGACAAAGGTTCACTAAATCGACGATGAACCTCGCACGGAAGCTCGCAGGCGACTGACGCCTAGTGCGTTTTGAAGCTGAGAATTCCCACCATTGAGCCCGCCTGGTGCGAACACGCTGCGAGTTACAGTCGCGTTAGGAAAAAAATGTTCCCAATACTTTTTATACGCACCTTGTAAATAAATTCAATTAATCCGGTTTATTTTATTGGACTTACACTATTTGTCTGAATAATAAAAGAGATATATTTTACAGTAGCAAATAGACAAGGAAGGATGAATGGGAGAATGCTGAAAAGAAGATCCGTACTGTACTGCGTTTTAATAAATGCCAGCAGCTAGAATCAATGTTTAAAGTACATATTGATTACAATTTATTTCTACATAAATATTTAGAACGTGAAATAATTTTGATTACGATAAAAGATGAAACTATGTTATATGAGGAATTTATAAAACATATTTTATTACAAACGTGCTAATAAAAGGTTGTATTATACATATGTATATTAAATGAAAAAGTTGTGACAAAATAAACAACAGTATTTATTCATACCTATGCTTAAGAAATGTTATTATTTCATTATAATATTATAAATTTTAGATTTGGTATACCTGAGAAACGATAGATGTCAAAAGAATACTAGCAAACAGAATTTGATGTATTTGTGGTAAATATGACTGCTGATAGGGCCATAACCCAATTGTTGTAAGAATTATTTGATTTATCTTGAAGTAGCTTTCCTGGATTGTATACATTTCATACGAGAACCGTCATACAACTGCGTCCACGGTAAAAATTGTATTATTTTTCCTTAATATTTTGTGTGTTTTAAACGATCGATAATAAGAGTAGTCGGAATAAGATAATTATGCAATGGCATGGCAAAATATTACCATTAAAGCCTATACATATATTTCATAATATATGTAGAAGCAAATTAGTCTGTATTACCTCAATGTGTGTTTTATAATGATTCCTTAAACGTTTATTGTTTGAATAAATTTCTTGCGCAAACGCAGTGAGGACTTTTATTTCTTAATAGTGGAAAAGGTTTCAGTTACTTTAGCGTCATGGAGTGCGTTTCTGGTCTTGTAGTGAATTATACAATGCATTGTGAATTATTAAACGTAGCACTTTGCTATTTGATTTAAAGAAGATATAAAATAAATAGGAGAAAACAAAAATTCATCTAAAAACAATTCCTCTCGAGTTAATGAAAAATACATTTTAATTGATATATGTATACGTAGTTACTGTAAGTATGTATATTAAGTAACTTTTATTTTTTAATTTAAATATCTCAACCATAGCAGAATTTTAACAAGTAAACTGAATTTTTTATAATGAATTTACTATTTCTCTTTCATTACTTATACATTAATGCTGTCAAGTGTTAGGAGTAAAACATATATGTACATTTCATATAGTATACATATACTATACATATGTTAGCAGTATATATTCAACACATTTTCTGTGCTCACACACATGCATTACAAAATAATGTTACTTTGATAAAAATTTCAACTAAATAAAGATGAATATGTCTTAGTATTGTTGCACAGAATAAATCACCATGAAGTAGGATATTGCTGTACTCGTGAGCTGAAAAGTGAACGTTACTCTATACATTGATAGTTGGTGTACATTAAGAGCTTGTTTCACTTTTTAATTAAAGGAGTTTAAATTTTACCGAAACAAAGCCATCCATAGATGCAACAAGTAAGCTGAAATACGATATGGAAAATGATATACATTTATCCGTTACACCAAGTAGAAGATTAAGAAGTTTTAACGTCTTCCTATACATATATCTATCATTACATGTATGTTGAATATAAATTATAATATTCCTGATTAACTTAAATTGTGTAAGCAAAGACAAACATATAAGATTATAAAATTTCAAAATAATAAATTATTTATATTATGGTCGGTTTAGGTTCTTTAACTGCAATCCGATATTTCATGCTATCATATTAAAATGTCTTTTCTTTCCTTTGAAAGATTATTTGTTTACTAGTAGTATATGTAATACTACATGTGTGTATGTACATATACAGCCCGAACAGAAATTTTAGAAGGGTCCTAACAAGGACCTAATAAGCATGTCCTAATGACCGATTAGGTACTCATTAGGCAGCCCTTGTTGGGCCTTGACCCTTGATAAATGTACATTCAAGCGTGCGGCAAGCGATCGGCTTTGCTAGACGCGCGGGGAGCTGTTCATGACACACGACACAACGGCTACGTATAATAAGCAACTCCCCGCGCACATAGCAACGCCGATCGTGGGACGGTCGCATCTCGCCGCGCGATTGAATTGGGCGGTAGGCCAAGCTAAGACAGCAATTTCTAATAATTAATAACTCATTAACTATTGCGAAAATTGCAAAATGGTAAAGGACTTTTCGGCTCAGTCTAGTTCGTTTTATCTGTAAATAAGAGGTACGGCGGGTATTACATAACATCCTGTATAGGGTGTCTCATAACCGAATCGCTCATAGAGGGTAGAGCGGGGCTAACTGAGAAAAAAAGTCATTATAGCATTTTACAAAATACGCAATAGTTTTTGAGTAATAAACAAAAACATCTGAGCGAAAGAACACATGAGCTGGATGTGTCAACAGGCATGCGTGTTCATTTCTTCTAATTCGATAAGCGAGAGACGAGAGACAAATGGTAATCGCAGTAAACAGTATATCTGTTGACAATCAATTTTAATTTGACTTTAGCTTAATACTGTGTTTTAAGACTGATAAAGTTATTGGCGCGCAGTTGCTAGATATTAAAAGAAGACGTAGGTATATACCAAGATCCGTAACTGAATTAATTTAATAAAATTTGACAGTTTGACAAAGAGAAGCGTTATTTTGTGAATTATTACGGGCGACAATAACAAAGACTTTTATTTTAATAATTCGAAGGCCCGTGCTTTGGTTTGAAGAATTATTTATTTATTAGCTTAAAGTATTAGAAGTAACAGATATTTGTTTTCTTCAATACACAATATTTAACATAATTTTATATTATATTCATATTGTACTTCTTTGTCAATTTAATAAAGATCTGTTCAATTGATAATACATTTTCCCTTTGTTTTCATCGCGTAGAATAAATCAACGTGACGTAGGATACTGCCGCATTTGTAAGCTGTAAAAAAACATGTTATTCTGCATAAATAAATATTAAAGTCCGGACTTTCGATTGTTAAAGAAGTTTTACCGTAGCGAAACCTTCTAAGGATACGACAAATATACCGCCACATGTTAAACCGATGTTTATTGCTCCTTTTTGCATTATAAATAATAATAGTTTTTGTGTACGTAATGGTGCTGCATACCATAGTCCATTGTAACTGTAATTTTGTAAACATTGAAAATTAAATTGATTGCAAAGTAGAGAAAAGACGACAATCTTATAATATAATTGACATTAAATTTTCTGCGTATTTAGAAATGTTGGAAGAAGGTATAACAACAATTTTAACTAATTCTAAAAACTAAACATACTGTTTTTGTACAAATGTATAAAAATAACTGTAAAAGTCTGTAAAACAGAGTACTCACGTTGCTTTAAAGAGCTTTAGACTATGATTCAATAGTTGTTGTCCACCGTAATTAGCAACGAACATATAGTTGAAATGTACAAGTATCAATACAGCTACCATAGACATCTGATTGGTATTTTTCGTTAATGTTATTAATTGAAGAAACTACGATGTGATGTTACGTGTAAAAATGCGGTCCGCAATTAACTAAAGTAGGAAACGATGTTACTTACTTGAAAGAGATTGAAACTTAAAGAACTGACGCCAAGTATGATTAGGATAGAGAATAATGTTGTAAAACTGGATGTCAAAAGTTCAGCAAACCTTTAACGAGGTCTATATATTGCAACTATTACATTACAAATATAAAATAAACTTTAAAACGTTCGGTCATAATAACTATTGTGATATCACATAATCAAAACATAATATTGCAAAAAAAACGTAATATAAAACACACACACATTTTTTAATCATACGTTTAACACACACATACGTATATGTATACGTTAATCGTATATTTTATATTTTTATCATATGTTTAATATTAACGACAGCTATCTACGTATCTATGTTTTATACAAATATGTATTAAATTTCAGTATGTTATTAGAATATAAATAGCGCATATTTAAGATTTATTTTACACAGAATTTTTTGATACATGTGATTTTACGTTTTAAATAATTTAAACTTTGATTTACATTTGGTGCAAGACTACACTGATATACGTTTAGCGTTAAACGTGCAATCTTAGAAGAACGGTTTTATAATCGATTAACTTTTTTAGTTAGAAGTTTTTTAACATAAATAAGAAATGTCTCACAAAATTACTTATTAAATCTTAACGACAATATAATAAAATTACTGACTTGCTGGCTCTCTGATGCATGGTAACCGCATGTATAATGCTCCGATAAAGGAAATAATCTCTTCTAGGACGAGGGATCTTTAATGTACTTTTCTTGATCGCATTTTCTATTCGGCAACTACATAAACTTATCTAAGTATATTTCAAGTAAAATAAGTGTTGAAATAAATGTGTTCCACATTACCTTGCGATTTCAAATAATGCACATGCGTGCATAATACATATCATAATTGTCGCACTGGTACAACACAGTGCGGACGTACCTACAGAGTAAGCTAACGCCTCATGAAACAGTATAACATAAAAGTATTTGTCTTGGTTGATAAAGTATTCCGTGATCACGAAAAGATGACGGGGCCGTGATTCATTTAGCGGCAAAACAACATCAAGAATTATTGGTAGACATTGGAATATTCCACAAAACAATAAGCCAAAATAGCAATATGCTGAGAAATGTTAAATGTTATCTAATTAAAGTTAAATTACGGAAATTGTTTCAAAAACTTATTCTGAATGCGTTAATCTTTGTTATACCAGTAGAAAAGATGATTCAGAGAAATAATATTATGTATACTACTATAAAATCATGACAATTCATATTTTTACCCATTAGAATTATTGTGAATAGCCTTGCATTGTAAGCGTATTTTTCTATGATACTAATTTCGAACTTATCCTTCAACGAATTCCAATCATCTTGAATTTGTTCCAGTAGTTGCTTCAACTGTTTATTCCATATTTTTTCTTAACAATGATTAAAATGTAATTTATTCTACAAGTATTACGAAACGTTCGTAACAAATAATTTGTCTTCTTAGACTTACGTTATTCGCTTGAATAATAAAAAGACAATACTTTGTCATGTCGATAATAATAGGAAAGACGAATGAGAGTATTTGAAGAAGGAGACTTGTACTATACTGATTTGTAATAAATGCCAATAACTAAAAATAATATTTACATTATATGTTGGTTATAAATTGTTCCAAAATATCGTTTACACATATTGTAAAATGTGTTCTATTTTATGATATAAAAGATGATATATACAGAGTGTTATGTAATACCCGCCTTACCTTTTATTTACGGATACAGCGGACTAGACTGAGTCGAAAAGTCCTCCACCATTTTGCAATTTTCACAATATTTAACGAGTTATTAATTATTGAAAATCGCTGTCTTAACCCGGTCTACCGCCCAATTCAAACGCGCGGCGAGATGCGGCCGTCCCGTGATCGGCGTTGCTAGGCACGCGGGGAGTTGTTTATGACATACGGCAACGGATACGTATAATAAACAACTCCCCGCGTGCTAGGTACACCGATCGTGGGACGGCCGCATCTCGTCGCGCGTTTGTTCCCGGTGAGGCGGGAATTACATAACACCCTGTACATATAAGTTTATTTAAAATAAAAGTTATCAAAATGACTGCTATATTATTAATAAATAATCGCTTTACATAAAAACATACAAAAACATTGGTAATAAAAAATGACAAAATTATTATTAAAATTATTATTAATTTATTGTATATATTTAAAAAATATCTAAACTAATTAATTCCATTTAAACCAATCATATACACCTGAGATAGTTATATATACCTGAACAACAATAAATGTTACAAGAGTACTGATAAAAAACACATTCTGTAGTTGGGTGAGATATGACTGCTGAAAGGGCCATAAGCCCACTGCCTTAAGACCTATTCGATTGATTATGTAATAGCGTTCGCTCGCGTGCATTTCACACGGGAATTGTGACAGAACTGTGGTAGGAACTTTAGACTGCCTGTATATTTTTCACGAAAGCTTCTGCGAATTTTAACAATCGATATCTCCTCGCGACATGAGCAATTGTAAGAAATGGTTATATTCTTCGAATAATAGAGTAATGAATTCATGTTATAGACGAGAGCAAATTAGTTTAAATTATCCCAATTTGTAATCAAAAGTAATATTTCTTTAACACATGGAGTAAAGAATACTTTTGCGCAAACGCAGTTATGACTTCTTTTCCTGGGCAGTGGGAAAAGTTTCAGTTTCTTTCGATGCTTCGTAGGTTGTGTTTCTCGCTTTTTAGTTATACAGTGTTGTGGAATCAGATATCACAAATAACACGAAAGTATTCACGTTGTTGATACGAACGTAAAATGATGTATATTTTTTAAGAAAACATTCTTCCTTTTTACGCAGTTTTATATACTCTCATAATATAAATAATAAAGGGCTAATACACGAACAAATTTAAGATTTAATTAATTAATTAAAAATGATTAAAATTGACAGTAACAAGTTTCAAAAATTGAAACGAGTCTCTGATGTAATAAATAACTGTGTCAGTAAAGGCTATTGCGTAAACGTGGTTGTTAGCGGTTGTACAGTGTTGTAAAACACAGTTTTAAACTAGCATTTCCGATTGTAAAGCCTGTTGTAAAAGCTGAACTTGATTTTTCACGACTACAACGATGTAGGACGTAAAAGCTAACTAATCATTCATTTCAATTACGACGTATCTCACTCTATTGTATATTACTTTGATATACAACACTTACTACTACTTCTACTCCTACAATCCTACAACTACATTTACGCAATTGTAGAATGGCCTTAACGAGCGAATGTAACCGCCAAAGTTAAAACATAAATAAGATATAGGTGTGTATAGGTAAACCGAAACACTACGTGTTTAGGTTTTAATGTTAGCAAGTTCTTTAAGTATGCTGTAATGTTCATTACGTATAAACTATTGAGTAACTCTTTATCAGGGTTGGAGTTGACTCAGTTTTTTGTTCTTTTATACGTTTTAGAAGTAAGTCTTTTATATAAATTCGATTCCGTGTCAAGAATTAACATTGTCCTAACCAAAGTTATGGTTAAAATTTTAAATATATTCCCCCAGATAACTTATGCTTTACTCACCGCAGAAATACACGCATCACTCAGCTTGATAGTAACTTTGTGTGTACTTACCTGAAAATAAAGAAACAATAAATTATTAACAATAACTTAATAATTATAGCTATTTTACAAAACTATAACGAAATTATTGTAAAAATCTTATATAAATTATATTATACAATAAATGTTTCACAATTTTGTGAAATTTCTCCTACAGAAAATATAAAATTTTCGATAACGTTCTCTCTTATTACATTATAAATTTTAATATTTTTTTATCTTGAGTTCTATTCAAAATGTTATAACTAATAAATATATGTAAAATAAAATTGATAATATTGATAACATAGCGTAACAGCATGAGAACAATATTGTGCGATATCAATGAATATTAATAATATCTTTTGTAGTCTTTTTTATTTTTCATATGCAACCTAGTAAAAATGTAAATTATTTCACTTGCATTGTTCAAAAAAGGGTTTAATAAAACACATGAGATATATGTATAATGTAGACGATGTTCAACAAATAATGATGTTTTTTATACTATCGATTTATTGATTCTGAAGTAGATTAAAATTCACATCTCATGCTCATTTACTCACAATTCTTCAGTACTCCAATCAATACTTCTTATAAACCGAAGCATTACATGCAAAATAGAATTGAAAGATCAACCTCAGGCTAATGCTCTTTATTAATTTCTGATATTAGTTTGTTCTTCAAAGTGATTACAATATATGTGTACTATAAGGATACCACAACGCTGTTGTGGAACGACGGTTTCATACATAGTGGGTATCAGGTTTGATCGTTCATCTTGCATATGGATTTTTTAAATCCTAATCTGTATAAAGTAAGAGTAGCAGGCCTTGATAAAAATCTTCCCAGTCTTTAGGGGTCGTTTTTACGGACAACATTGTATGAAATACTTATAGTTACAATTATTTGTAAGAAGATAAATCAAATCTTTGTAACAAAATTTATTAAAATTTATTTAGAATTGTAGAATGTTGGTTTTCATTAGTTGACTATTCTTAAGAATAAATATACTTTTGTTATTCATATCTTATTTTTATAATTCAAATTATATGAAGTACATTTTCAATGAAGTTCTTTATAAGTAAAGCATTTTCAACATTAACAGTTGCAAATATCTAAAATTACCTATAAACATTCATAGGTCATTATTAATTCTTATTTGATAGAATAAATTATTGTGAAGTATGATATCAATGTCATTGTAAACTATAATAGAAATTTTTAAGTAAAATAAAATATATCATAATGAAAACATTTGAGATAATATGAATAATTATAAATGCCTAATTAGTTATGATACATTACCATTGTGAAGCTATTATAAGAAGAATAAATAAATTAAATGGCGTATACATAAATAAGGTATTATGTAATACCCGCCTCACCTCTTATTTACGGATAGAGTGGACTAGACTGGCACACAATGAGTCGAAAAGTCTTCTACCATTTTGCCATTTTCGTAATAGTTAACGAGTTATTAATGATTAAACATTGCTGTCTTAGCCCGGCCTTACCGCCTAATTCAAGCGCGCAGCGAGATATGGCCGTCCCGCGATCGGCGTTGCTAGGCGCGTGGGGAGTTGTTTATTATACGTAGCCGTTGCCGTGCGTCATGGCTAAAACAGCGATTTTTAATAATTAATACTCGATAACTATTGCGAAAATTTCAAAATGACAGAGGACTTTTCGACTCAGTCTAGCTCGTTCTATCCATAAATAAGAGGTGAGGTGGGTATTACATAAAACCCTGTATAAGCTTTTGTTGCTATTAAAGTAACAAAAATAAAATCAAGCTTTGTCTATTCGAAAGCATCGTGTGTCGCAGTACAATCATATTTGAAATATTGCATAAAATGTTATTTGATGAAATTGTAAAGAAATTATACAGGGTGTCCGACACAAGAGGACCCCTACGAAAAATGGTGGTCTAATAAATTGGGTCAGACTGAGAAGAAAAGTCACGTACCATTTTACGAAATTTGCAATAGTTTTCGAATAATTTATTAAAACGTCTGAGCGAATGAACGCGTAGAGAGCGATAAGCCGGGCTCGAAAGACACGTCACATAGCTTTGTATACCAGATCTCCTAGCAACGATGAGCTAGAGGTGGAGCGGACGTAACTCCGCGCCGGAAAAGAACAGCAAGCAATATGTTTACGTCCTGTGTCGCTCACCGCGCTCGCACCCACCCCTCGCATGCCTTCCGAGCCCGACCTACCGCTCTCTACGCGCTCATTCGCTCAGACGTTTCAATAAATTATTCGATAACTATTGCGAATTTTGTAAAATGGTACATGATTTTTCATCTTAGTCTGACCCAATCTACCATCATTTTTCGTAGAAGTCTTCTTGTGTCAAACACCCCGTATGAACAATGAAATTATAGAGAAATTATATGAGATTCTGTATCTCATTAGTGTGATCTATTAGTTAGTTATAATACAAGAAGTCCGTTTTAATTATAGATATTTACTGCAACACAGTATTGAGTGATAAATATGTTTTACATAATAGTATAATTTACATCTAGTTTGCATAACTGTATGTAATAAAATTGTATAATAAAATTGTCTTATAACTTTTGTAAAAATTTTTATAAAAGTTAATGGTATGTGTCAATTAGGTCTGTTTGCAATTTATAGTGTGCTGTAGATAGTGAGATACTTAAGGAGCTTGAATCATTTGCGTCCATCAATACGATTACATAATCCTATGTTTGCTCTTACTTGCACGACTAACTTTTTTTGTATTATTTCATCATCGCATAGTATATATTATTGTAAAATATGATATTGTCGAAGTGATAAGCTGGAATGAGAATTTCTTATATTAATAATTATAGTTAAAAACATTTTTCTATGTAAATCATTTGAACTGCGATATAAATACATTTATTAAAATAATAATTGTTATAAATATTTAAAAATACATTTACGAAACATTTATTACCGTGGAGAATCCTTCCAAAGATGGGATAAAAATACCACCAATTTCTAGTTTAAAGACTTTCACGGATTTTAGTAAAAACAACAGTAATTTTTGAACAGATAGCGGAGCTACGTACCACAATGTATTATATCTATGAATTTAAAAAAATTATACTTTTGTTCTGTAGTAGAAACTCGGTTTTCTTATTATTTACGTATTCAGAATTTCAAATAAGTCTTTCTTTATTTAATTACACAATGACGGGCTGACATGGTTTTCAGTTTCAAAAAACGTCAGCTATCAAATGTTGAATATGGAAATGTTAGGAATTACATAATTTTATCTAACAATAAAGTGACGTCGATTAGAATGAATAAATTCATTTCTTAACAGATTGGAAACTTTAATAAACAAATTTATCATTACATTTTATCGCAATATTGTATTTAATAAAATGCAACATGTTATTAACAATACATATGTATTACAACACAATACATATAATATGTATATTCGTATGTTATTAAATGTATGTTCAAGGAGATATAAAAAGTTGATTTAACAAAATATTATTCTAATACAGTATAATTTGTTGTAAAAGTTTGTATTATTACTTACACGGCTATCCACATCTCTGAACTGTGATCGATAATTGCTTGTCCACAAAAATTCGCCATAAACATATATACTAAGTGACCAAAACACAGCATAACGGATATAAATAATTCAGAATAATCATTTAATAGCGTTATAGCATTGAGTAACTACAAAACATTATATGACGGATGAATCGGTTATAGCGCTATGTATGTAGCACATGCTCTATGCACAGATATTTTAAAAAGATATATTTTATTTGTTCGGATCAATATATCAGAGAGTCATTTTATTAGTTTAATATTTTGAAAATATTTTATTAGTTTGAGGAAAAATTTTTTCTTAAATATATGCCAATAATATTTGGGCACCTCAAAATAATTAAAAGGGACAACATTTAATTTCACTTAAGTGTTGCTTGCTATGTGCATATTGTCTTTCCAAAAATACATAAAAATTTCTTAATATATATTTGGTATTTTAATTTACAACATACACAGATTTATATAAACATGACAGATAAGACAAAGAAAGAAATTATGTTACATAAGTGAATATATTACTCACCCGAAAAATAATACAACTGGAAGATATGACGCCAAATACAAGTAAAGGTAAATACCACATGTGTATACTGTTCATTAAGGAACTCATAATGCTTTAATAATCACAAAAAATTTGTTTAGTAATTTTACACTTTTTTATAATGAGAAATGCAAGTCTTTATGCTTGACTGTACTTGTTTGAACTTATTAAATTTACATAATTTATAATAATAGTAAACACATTATGGTTTATGGTGAAACTAACAATATACTTCTTCGATGGATATGAACTGCACGACAAATGTTCTGGTACATAAAGTAAATTCTATGATGTGCAGGAAGTTGCAGTATACTTTCAGTTACAGTATTTTGTATCAAATTGCTGTAAACGAAATTAATTTACACTAAATCAATAATTTAAAATAATTTTGTTATTGAAATTACTAGGTGTACTCGCCTGGCAATTTTAAAGGTTGCGCAACAGTGTCCCCCCATTGTAACCAATAGTGTACAAGTAGTAATTGTCGACCAAATTCCAACTGTCACTGTTATAACTTCGAATATTACGTACAACAGGTAATATTCTTGTTCGTCAATAAAAAGTTCATAAGGTACTTTCAAATTACGTGGTCGAGATTTATTCAACGGCACAACTGCATCAAGAATAATGGGTATACATTCGATAATTGTAAAAATAAACAAAGATAAACCGACTGCAACTGAAAACAGTAATAGAATATAATCTTTTTTAAAGAATGTAAATATTAAATTATAAGTCAGGCATGTGTAAAATAAGAGTTAAAGTATGGTGTTATTTCTGGTTTCCCTACTGGTTACAAATAATCCAAAAAGGTTACAATGATGTGAATATGTTTTTAATATCTTCACTTCACTAACGTCGTCTATCAGTTTCCAGTCTAACTTAATGTGTTCCAATGATTGTTTAATCTGTTTGGGCGAAATATAATTTAATTTATTAATCGTTATTTGTTGAAACTTTTATTTAAATAATTACATCCAATTTGAGAAGATGTGAGCAATACTTACGATTTTAGCGTTGAAATAAAAGCAGTTATAATTCAAAAAATAAATAATAGAGGGAAAAATATACGTAAGTTCTTTAATGATAAATTCCACGTCGTATTCTGACGTCAAAAATATTGTGAACTAAAAAATATATATTAATGACAACATCTTCATCTTATTTGACGCAAAAACAAAGTCCAATAAATTAAGAAATACCTGAAAAATTATAAATGAAAAAAATGTACTGAAGCAGAAAATTGCCTGAATTCGTAAAACACTCAAGTTTTGATAAGGCCACAGGCCAAGCATGGTAAGCGTTATCCGGTGTAAGTCATAGTACCGTTCACCGATAAAGGCCATTCTGTCTGAAGAATGAAACAGCTGTGTTGATAAAAGTTCCGCACGTAAAACAATCGTCTTTACATACAGCTGTTATCGAACATACTAAAGGTATTCTTTTTTTTTTGTAGAATTCTGCGTACATGCAAAACTTACTGTGAGATAATGCCGTGTAATTTAGCAGTTTATCATAATGACGCAATAGATTACGTAAAGTGCTATCGTTTTATTAATCAATATGCATTACATCTAAAACATTTCACTAAACAAGTGAATCGACGAATATTTGAAAAAACTTATCTCTGTTTTTTTTAGTTTTAGGCGCAAAAGCAACTAGCGCGTATTTATTAACGATCTAACGAGAGATCAGTTTACTTTAAAATAAGCAAGGTGTAATATACATACATACATACACATATACATATATATTGTATATACACGCGCGCGTGTTTTTGTACATATAAACTATTGCTTTATGCATATCAAAAGAATGAAGTTTATTTATTTTCGATTAATTACACATGTTAAAAATGCTTGTGAAAACACTCGTGTAACATGATGCATTTTAATAAATTTTATTTGTTGATTCTGTGTGCTCTTAAATATATTAAATTATACTATTTATTCTTGTTTACGTATATTATATGTTAAGTGCTAAAAGTCAAAATTAGTTTTGTTATGTTAACTGTACAAGTTTAAATTTTATATACTTATATGATGTTTATGTTTTTGTTTAAGCAAATATTTATTTAAGAAACAATTACGTACCTACAAATCTTTTATTATCTTTTGGTATGAAAAAGTGATAATACCACTACATTGAAAGCCAATTTTTAGCCAATTAAAATTTTTGTATGTATTATTTTATCGTCACAGTATATATCACAGTAAAATATGATATTGCTGTAGTTGTAAGCTAAAAAAAAATTTTTATTTTGATGCCGTTAGCAATTATTAAGTTCTGATTGTTACATAATGTTATACGTAATAATGTCATAGTATTATATTTTTAATATGCATTAGATGTAATAAATCAATTGAGTCTAAGAGAAGATAAAAAATGAAATAAAACCTTTTTCTAGGAAATTAATTTACTATGTTCATTACAAAATATTTACTACCGTAGAAAATCCTTCTAAAGATGATACATAAATACCACCAATTATTACAGCGTGAGTCTTCAGAGAATTTTGCATCACAAATAAAAGCAATTTTTGTATTGATAATGGAGCTAAATACCACATCGTATTATACCTAAAAATTTACAAAGATAAGATTGACTATTATTTGTAAAAAAGCTTTTACACTTACACAAGTACTTTTGACTCATTTTAAGAGTGTAACACATTTACAAGTATGTAAAGATTCAAATCCACATCAATTTGTTGCTGAACATTTAGGTAAATATTATTCTAGTATAACAATATTTCTTAAACACTTTTAATCTAACATTAATAAACATTATTTAACACATTCAAAGTACATGTAATGGATCTAACAGTAAGATAAATCCAGCTGGGAACTAAACCAATCTCTATATTCTTCTGATTCGATGTAACGGTTTGACTACAATCGCTACTAAACAGAGAATACTGTCTCGTTCTTATAATTTAATTTTTAAATTTATGGTTCATTATTTTTGGAAAGAATAATAATTTAAAAATTGATAAAATATCTTACAATGCATGGACTACATCAAATGTACTGAAGAAAGTAATTAGTTTTTGTCTTGTTTATATTTGAATCTTTGTATTATATACCTACGTGGCATTAAATATTTCTGCAGCATGATCGGTAAGTGTTTGTCCAATAAAATTAGGTACAAATATAATCACAAAATGAGCTACTACCATACCCGCGCACATGACTATTTCGGAAACCTCATGTGATGTTCTTAATGCATTAAGTAACTATAAAAATGTATTATATTAATATTTTTATTTCAATTTATGAACGCATAAATTCACAACTATATAGAAATATAATTAAATGTAAGATGTGCAAAATATATTACATACACAAATACATTACTTACTCGAAAAAGATTGCAACTTAAAGATATTACGCTGATTATTATTATACCACAATACCATTTGTTCATAATATTCATTAAAAATGTAGAAAACCTTCAATAGTGAAAAAAAATGTAACTCACAGCTTTGAATCAAACATATCAGGGGCATAAAGAATGTCTTTTTTTAAATTAAGATTAAGATTAATGTGTGTCCCGCATATACATATAGTACGTAATAGTTCAAACGAAATAAAGACTAACTGAACAGATTTCCTATGGATATGAACAGCACGATTAATTTTCCGATACATCATGTGCGTCTTCTGACAAGTAGGAATTTGAAGTGTACGTTTAGTCACCATATTTTCAATTAAGTCACTGCAAACAATTTGTATGCAATTAACAAAAATATTTTGTAGTAAAATTAAGAGACACACTCACCTAGCAATTTTACAAGTTGCACAACAATGCCTCAAGAACGCCATCGATAATGTTCCCGTCGCAAGTATCGAAAACATTCCAATTATTATTACTATAATTTCATATATTAAATAAACATAAAAATACTGTTGCTCGTCAATAAAAAGTTCAAAGTCTATTGTAATTTTACGTGGCCGAGATTCATTCCTCGGTACAATAGCATCAAGAATAACTGGTATTAATTCCACTATTGTAACAACAAATACAGTAACGAGGATAAGAACTGGAAAAATTAATTAATTCGAATTGAACAAACTTATGTGAAGTTCGATTATACATATAATTGTGCTGTCTCGTCCGGATCGAAAGGTCGAAAAGAAGGTGTTCTTTTTCTTCATTGAGAGAGGAACAATGCCAATCTGCTGGTCACGTTTACCTGGGCATCAACTAATCATACTATCTTCCCTGTACGCTTAATAAACTGATTAACAGCCGATCGTTGGGAACAACACAACAGAAAACAATAAAGATCCAGAGAGGCACGCGCGGGAATGAGGACACGATGGAGCGCCCTCTTTTCGATTTTAGATGTGTTAAAAGGACCTGTTGGGAATTACGCGGCGGAGCGCTACTATAATAGTTCCATCCAGACGAGAATTTGCATAATTAAAAATAATAAAGTAACATATCACCTTATTTAATTTAATAAACAATTTTAAGTAAAGAAATATAAAACATTAGAGGTGTAATTTAGTTTATAATTTACTTACAACACAGAAACAAGGAAAAAAGACGACTTTCAAAGGCATACTTTTCCAATATTCTAATTTCACTAATATCTTCGATCATATTCCAGTCTAATTTAACTTGTTCATACAAATATTTCACCTGTTGATTAAACAATTATTGCTTCCTAAATTATTTCTCTTACTTAAAAGAGTAAAAATTCTCGTATAAAAGAACTCCGTACAAAATTAAATCACAAGTGATACTTACTTCTTTAGAATTAAAATAATAGGAGTTATAACTTACAATAAATAACATGGTAACAAAAATATATGAAAATTCTTTAAAGATAAATTCCAAGTTGTATGCCACTTTTAAAAATGACATAAACTGTAATGCACAAAAAAGTAAGAATAATGACAATATCCTGAATCTTCTTAATAAGGAAACACTCACAAAAAGCGCTACGTGTAAGAAGAAAATGATTCAGAAATTACCTGGAACAAAAGAACGAAACAATATGAACTAAGAAAGAATAATGTTTGCACTTTCACAACGATCGGCGTTTGATAAGGCCATAAACCAAGCGTTGTCAACATAACTCGATAAATGTCGTAATAACGTTCGCCAGAAAATACCATCTTGCTTAGTGAATGAAACACGTTTGTGGGTGGAAATATTGCGGGTATTCTGAATAATACTGCATTATTAGGTATTCTAAACATTTCTTTATTTTCCGCACATTTTTCCTTGCAATCAATAACACACGTAGCAAGACCATGTAATTTAGTAATTTTCTGTAATTACGCAATGAAAACGAAAAGTGCCATAATTCCGACAACTACGTGAAAAAAATGATATGCTGCATTATAGACGGTTATTCTTACGGCAGTTGTTAATATTACAAAAGAATCTACATCTTGTTTTGTTCTCGTGGTTCGAACCGGCGCAGTTTGGTGTAGCTCGGTAAGAATGTAGTTCACAGTGCGTCATTCTCCAGAGGACAAATGAATTCTACTTCAAAAGGATTAAGAATACCTTTCAGTGTAAAATAAGATGCCTATAACTTTTCAAAAAGAATCTTTTCTTTCGGGAAACACATTACATGCATTACATACATACATATATTTTATTGACTTTTTGCACGAATTGATTATTTTGTATGATATCAACAGATATAAAGGATTATATAATTTTTCCTAAAGTATCACCTTTAAGTATGCTAACATTAATTACAGTAAGTGTATTATTTTAGTATAAGAAATAATATATTTATTATCTTATCATTATTATATGTGAAATTCTTTTACACTCCTTGATCTAATTGATTTAATAGATATACTTTGGTAACTTCGGCTTTATAATATCTATTGATATTTCTTAATATAACTTAGAGATACAAAATGAAACTGCAGAGAAGATTACCACAAGTGCTAGTAAAATGTTTATTATCTTTAGAATTAAAGTGACTTATAGGATAATTTTAAACTCGTGATGTTGTACGAAATCACCGATAAAAGGTTTAATGAGACAATGTTTGAAGTTGTAAACACTATACTATTAAGTACAAGTTTATATAAGATATAATATTGTTTATAATTTCATACCTCTGTGATTTTCAATGTATAGTACTATTGAATTTCTCTTGTAACGTTGTATGTGCATTAGCATGGCGAATAAGTGTCCCAACAATTACATTGTTATTTTATAGAATAGAGTACTGTTAAGTAAGACAACGCTGTGGTGGAAAGCTATAATAATATTGCTCCTTTTTATATATTTCCAATTTCAGAATAAAATTAGTTCTAACTCTTAGTTGATTGAATTAATAGGTTTAGATTTTGCAAATTATGCAAAATTATAAAAAAATCGAACTTTCTATTAAAATCTTTTCATAACTTTCGTTTTTGGACAATTTATAATATATCTTTTAAATGCCATATATGTATATTACCGTGGCAAAACCTTCCAGCGATGCCACGAACAAACTGCAGACAACTAGTTTCAAACTTTTCATCATTCGATGCATTAAAAACAGTAGCATCCTTTGCGATGGCAATGGAGCAATGTACCATAATACATTACATCTGAAGAATTCAAAAGATAGATTGAATATTACATATAAGGTTATACATAAAATTTGTTTATCATTGATCTTGTACTTTTTATATGCAATTCGATGGAAAGATAAAGAACTGTTGTACATTACAAAAACAGATGTGATGTTTCAATTTGTATCAATATTTTTATTTATATTAATATAATTTCGTACTTTTATTTTTATATATGTAATGTTATCATGCTTTTCATATGCTCTCTCTCTCTCTCTCTCTCTCTCTCTCTCTCTCTCTCTCTCTCTCTCTCTCTCTCTCTCCCCCCCTCTCTCTCTCTCGTCCAATTTTACCAAA